TTTGAATTTCGGTTAATTTTGTTGTTCGCTGGTGCGTTGATTATCGGTCCGCTTTTCGGGATCGGCCCTTAGCCTCATGCACCCAATGAGACAAACGGAATGTGGACGGACAATACCTTATTGGCTGGGGGATGCCCAGCTTGGGTGGGCGGTAGCTGTCCAATGAAGTGTGAAGTCTTCTACCACCGTCGAGAGGAAGCCCCAGGTACCCCGCTGTTACGTCCATCTAACGGTTTTTTCGACCGATAAACTGCCCCTCACCGTGTTTATTTGCTGGAGTGACCTCTCCAGGGGCGGGTGTGGATAGACGGAGACCAGGAGGTGCCCAAGCAGCTGGCTTGCGAGACTGAACTTCGTCTGGCCTCTACCCGTTGATCTTTCAGGCATGATTCGATTTGCGGCTGTGAGGAGTCATCCTGTATAGCTACCAGGGTCATTGAGGCGCGCAAGCCATCATACCACGTCAAGGTGCAGTCTCGTCGTGATGGCTAAAGGCTTACAAATCGCTAAATACATTCACTCAATGATCAACAGAAGAAGTGAACAGTAAAAATTATGGCGGTAATACCCATCAGTTTTATCTTTTTTAAATTATCAATTGTTATTTAGTGAAGATTTCGAAAGATTATTTGGCGGAATCAAACGATGGTGTTTGTGAATTCAAATATCAAGGGGGTGGGTACTGAACTTTTCATTTGTCACATTGCTTATGAGTTCTTGTATTTCTCGCCTTTATTATGCTCTGTTTTTGACTGGTTTCTTGTGCCCCAGACACCTTTTTCTCAATTGTTAGTGCTCGTCAGTACCACGGTCATTTGGGTTTGAGATGGAAATAATTATCCCCCCAGTTGATCTCAAGGCTGCACATGTTCGCTGGCGACAATTTAGTTCTACGGTTAAGATTTTCAGTTCACTAATCCAATATCTGCGGATCGAGTCCTGGCGTGGATACAAAAATGAGTAAGCAGAAGTGGCGATTTCCATAAATAAAGAAATAGCTGCCTAATTATTTGTGTTGGCATTCACATAAAAAATATACTAGAATATGTCTTTGGCGAGGTTGAAATTTCTCCAAGACTAAGAGTTATTAGAAATGAAGATATGTGAAATTACTGCGTGCTTTCTCTTTTCCTATTTTATTGCGTCTTGAATGGTATCGATCATTCACAACGTGATCTGCCACTTCGAAATCAGTGTTGTGAATATAACTTCCTTACCATTCCATGCGTTCTTAAATTCCACACGGAAAGATCATCCTGGAACATATTCCACCACAAACCGCCCACACGCATTTACCACTGATCATTCAAGCTTTGGTTATTCCGCTATCGGATCCAAGCAAGCATGTACGCCAAAAACTGTCTACTATACTGGTCAGTCTGTGTCGTCTTGTTCCTCCGGGAGTGGTTGTGGACCACCTGGCAAAGACTATTCATGCAACTCCCGTACCGAAAGTTCGTTTGGGAATTCTAAGGGCTATCATATTTTCCTTGCTGCTTTTCCCCGGTGAAGAATTGAATCCGCTATATTTGTGCCGCGAGGTCTGTTCCATTCTTTGCACAGACAATAATGAGGTGAGATACCAAGGTGAAATTTTGTCTGTTTTCTATTCCTTCGTTAATAATGGGCACTTATTCACCGCCTTTACGTGTACCAATTTTCAAGAATTGCCAATTCGTCCGTACAGTCAGTCAACAGTCAGTTCCTGTGATTTTCCCGATTAATGTGTCCTCAGTTTCTTAGAGACATTGAGTAATATTTGAAGTGTCGTTTTTAAAATATTTTTGCATATTTGTTCACATTATGTTTGACAGCGTGAAATCTTAGGTTTGAATTGTGAGAAGTTCAGTTGTTTCCAGGGGATTCGGAACCACGCATGAACGCCGCATACGCTTTTGTACAGCTTATCAGCTGGGTTAAGAGACTAAATCAATATCACTGATATCACTGATCGTTTTATATTTGAATCGCCTAACCCACTTGCAGAGGAATTTAGAATCCCCCAGGTAGAACTTAAGCTGACTGCCACTACAGGTTATCTTTAAAATCACCGGGATCTACTGATTTCGTTTGAATTAGAGTCACCATATTTTAGCACAACACGTACTTTCCGCTGTATCGTGCGTGAGTGACCACACTGATTTGTACGCTTATAGGTTTATTTCAGAGAGACTGATACCCACTTAGCCATTATCATCTCAGAAACTGATTACAGCAGAATACAACGATAATAACAATAAACAGTATTATACCTTTTTAAATTCCATTTAGTTGATGTGCACAATGAGTCTAAAACCCGTATTCAGGAAGAGGGCGGCGATCCATGGAAGATGCCAAATTATAATGGGAGAAGTACGCTGATGGTGGCCGGATTCGAGCCAGAAACCTAAAGGGTGATGAGTGGACGGTCTCATTCGCTCCACTACTGCTACTCTAGTCTGGAATGTAGTGGTGGTGTAGTGGATGAACTTTGGTTATGCTTATCCACTGCTAGAAACTTAAATACGCACAATAAAAAATATACAATGATACACGCAGTAAAATTCAGAAATTACCTGAATAAATTCTTTGGCTCTTTAGATGCAATTGCTCTGGGTTCCCTTAAATTAAATAGCGTTATATTTTGAATAATTTGCAACAGCACTTTCAGAATGTTGTCTGTTTTTGGGCACAGCAACCACCGATGACAATCGATCATCCGAAAAAATCCTGTACAGATCAAATAGAATTAATAACACATTCCGCAATATGGACGACCAGTTTCAGTTAATGAGAAACGTTAATGAATGTATAGGTTAGTTGTAGGGATAATACTCGATGCCATAAGGTCTCTGGAACAATATGGCGCTTTCGCCTGTTGCTTCAATTTAATTTGCCCGTCTCGTTACTCATACTGATTCATTATGGGTTGAGAATCAGAAGGCTAACACACCAGTGTAAACATATTTATATATAGCGATCATCAATCTGGTAAGATGGCACCTGTTGACATTTGTAAGCAAAAGAATACAGTCACTTGCCATGTAATACTGAACGACCTAGACAAGTACAACTTAATTTGGTCATCTCTCTCTCTTAGGGCTTAGTGAGAACCTATTGAAATCAAATCTCTGTGGAAGTAACGCCACATACCATCACGTGAAACGTATTCTGAGCTTAAGATTACCTTACGGGAAGCAGACCACGCAATCGGGTCATCAAACCGTTAGTCATGTATCCTGAATCGCAACGTTCCTTCTGCCTAACGTCTCCCTAACTCATTTTCTTTGATCCCAACCCACTTACTCGAAGGTTATTTAAGTTTTCATTTGTCAGATAGCAGTTCAAATATTAAAAAAATCGTTCATTGAAATCTTTTTCTAATTAAGTGTTATTATTTGCGTCTATTCATAAATTTTTACCCACATCATGTTAGTGGGTTGTGGTGACCCGGTTGTAAAGGTAGCCAAATTATCACCCCGGAAGATGTGTTCGAATGAGATTACCACCGCCTGAATTTCCCACTACCTGTTGCATGGCAGCCCCTTGAATAACCGCTTCCCCCTTCCTGAAAATTCTGTCATCGTGTATTTGATGAAAGGCAGTAAAACCGAAAGAGAAACAAAAGAGGTAAAGCGATATAGGTCTGCTTCAGTGTTGTTCTCAGATAGCTTAAAATCGGCTTCAGCCCCAGTTATACGATTAACTACTCCGTATAAAAATTAGTTCGAAGACAATTTAAAGAATCAAGCTTGAATTAGTTCGAAGACAGTTATTAAATATGCTCGCCTCTTCATAGTTGTGAGTAAAACTTTGATGAACTGCTGACTGGTTCTTCTTGTGACTCAATAAAAAGGAGCATATTTAGTGTTCTCATCCAGATAAAAATCCATACCCTAAAACTTTCGTATTGTTGTATTATATTATATTATAAATGAATTATGCAGGCGACTGTACCTACATTTCAGTCGAAAGATGTATTCACCGTTACAATGGGATAAAAAATGAAATGAAAATTACCATACAAAAATGATGAAACTTAAAAAGGTGATCGTCTTTGCAAGTTTAAAATTAGTTCGTTACGGATCTTCACAGTGTCAATGAGAATACGAGCCAAATAGGGAACTGTTGAGTTGAGGCAAATGTTTATGCGAGAGGGCGAGTAGCGAAAATTGGATGGGGTTAATGCCTGGGTACGGCAAGCAGATAAATCGGGATTGAGTCGATAAATGGGGTCATTGAATATCTTATGATCAAAATTCTCACATGCATTGATAAGCAAATAACACAATTTTGTGATCAGAGTGTTTAAAGGAATACGAGAAACGCGGCTGATAATTACTAAACCGCGACGTAGAGTAATGAAGTCTTTTCTAAGTAGACCAGGGAAAATAACGGGCGAACAATAAAATATGATAGNAAGGAACATACAGTTTCATGCCTCACTCAAAATTGTTTTGCGTATTTGAAAAGATAAGCGACTCAGTCCACCAACACAAGCAAGCACATGTGAGGACCACCGTAGATTGCTATCTATGGTGACTTCTATGTATTTGGTGGTGTTCTGGTATGTGTTCTGGTGATGGGTAAGGAATTGATGACTGAGGGTTCCAGGGGGTACTCGAATAGGGAAAAACTATAAATGCATTCAAAGCATTTAGAAGTATTCACCTGAAGACCGGATTAGTTCAAAAATGATTGTACTTGCAACAAATTGTCGGAAAATGATTCTCTGTCCGATTGGTTTGAGATGGCTCGACGCACGACCACATCATCAGCATATGTGAAGGTCCTGGCTGGTGGGATTGAGAGTAAGCCACTAATGAAAGTCGAAAATAGGCAGGAGGAGAGCACAGCACCCTGAAGGACTCCAGAACTGTTCACTAACGGCGATTTCAATATACAAACATTCTTTCGGGTTGGTAACACCCTGAAACGCCATCTCGTGAAAGCCCAAGATCCGGTCAAATTGCAAGATCAAAACAACTGCATTTACAACATCAGTTGTAAAGAATGCCCCACAGAATACATTGGGCAAACCAGCAGACAACTCAAGACAAGAATAACCGAACACAAGAGAAAAGAAACACACCGGCCTACGGACAAAGCAACTCTGGCAAAACTAAAACGAAACTCAGCGATCGCTCTTCACGCTATAGCCGAAGGTCACACGATATACAACGATAACCTAAAATACTCCAAATCGGATTTCGTACATGCACTGAACGCTCGTATGCCGAAGCTTTGGCCATTAGCACCCACTGCATGTGACAGCAGCAACGATGGAATCGATATCCCGAGCATTTGGACTACCCTAACATCTCTAACGCTCAATCACGACAAAGGTTACGGTGCCACTTGACCTCATCTGATAAGGGGAGTTAATATGACGGGCAACGAATCATTCAACCCACCACACACACGTACACAGACACACACACGCACACACACATACGATGAAATATCCGTTAACTTGTGATCCTTTCCTCTGAGTCATTTGATTGTAAAACCTGCCTCGAGTAAGGTTATCTACGGTAAACGAAACGTTGGCGAACATAATTCTCTACCGACATCGCTGTGTTATTAACACTATAATATTCACAATGGTACCATTTGCTTTCGTTTTTGAGTCCTTCTTATGAAGTACTCTTTCAACCAGGACAACAAGTTGGTGGGGCAACCGAATGACTCTTACTTTTGCAGGAGGAGAGATCGTGGAACGGAATCGAAAGCCGAGGAATAGTCAAGAAAAACACAACGAACCGACTTTTGAGAACTATCTAAAGATTTGCAAATAAAGTGCATCATTGAAGAGACGGCATCCAAAGTGCATCTATGTGGCTTGTACGCAAATTGGAGGGTGTCATCGGGAACAATAATACCAGATTACAAGCGGGTGAGAATAGCGCAAGTTTAAGTGCAGAGGAGGTGATGGCGATCGGACGAAAGCGTTTAGATAAAATACTAGATGAAGAGGATTTAGGACTGGGAACAATGGTGAACGGTCTCCAGGAATCCGGGATCGAACATGTGTAAATGGATTGGTTAATAAGGGACGTAAACATCTCTGTGACTGAACCAGAGCCATATTTGAGCAATGAGGAAGATAAACCATCGGGGCCAACTGCATTGGTGGTTTTCGTAGTTTTAAGAAGATAATAGACCTCCTCATGGAAGACCGGGTCTATGGTAGATAGGTGATCTGTGGGGTACGGAGACAGGAGATCATTCGAAGTATAAATGAATGCAGCATTGAGGCTGTCCACGTCCATAATTTTGTTCGTTGTCCGTTTCCTCTGTCCGCAAAGCAATCTGATCCCTTGTCATAGCCGTCTTCCATCTCCAGCTCCCAGAACTTGCTTTGCAATTGAAGCACTCAGTATTTTGATCTCTGCCCTGATTTACTGTGTAAGTTATTTGACAGTGGTTGTTTGATGTATCTTGAATGCTAGTTATTTTTATCTTCTAAGAGCTTTTAACCGCAGAGAGCATATTCTGCCAGTGTGAACAAAACTATCTCCATAGGACAGCATAGATTGAAAATCACTTTAGCTGTTTCTGTAAAATGTTCAACAGAACAGGAAGACTTTTAATAGGAAAACCATGGGGATATAATAGCAAGAGATTTTCCCAGGAGATGGAGTCTGTCGGTTGAAAGATTCCGAATTTTTATGTTCATTTGTTTTGTTTGAATAAAAGCGGGGTATACTAACCGAGAGTAAACGTTTGGTCTAAGACATAGGAGAGAGTGGTCACTGGACGAAATTGGAGCCTTCGGTTTGAGAGAAAAGATATTGGGGTGATGAGTAATGAGCTTGTCCAAAATAGCATTTTCTCTGGTGGGCGTTACAGAGATATCTGATAGACCGAAAGAAAGTAAAGGTTGGGTTGATTCATGATTAAAATCACCGACAATTAAAATTAAATTATCATCTACTGAGGGAACAATGAAAGGAATAAATTTATCGTAGAAAGAACTAATTTCAGTTTGTGAGCAAGAAGGGACAATGTATAGATTTGTAATAATTGTGCTCCGATAAGGGGAGAACCTAGGTCGACGTGAAANGTGAAACAGCAAGACAGTCAATACCATAAGAGGAGAAAACAAACAACTTTTCGGACTTGCTGGAGTTAATGTAGGTTATTATACCGAATCCGAACTTCTTTTTACTTCTTTCTCTGTCTTGTCGAAAACTTGCAAAACCAGATATGTTGACCAGCGAATCGTCTGTTTTCGGTGAGCCACGATTCCTGTATGCATATCACACTTGTGTTTGTGTGCACCCGATGAGTTCAGTCAGTTTGCTAAACAGTGATTAATGACAGAACCGTTATTTTCACGGGAGTAACGTTTACGAGCGCAGTCTGCCACCCTGCCTAGGACTCGTCAGCAGTGCGTACGTTTTGTGTCCCTGTGAGGACTCGAACCGCGAACATTCGGTTCGATTCCTGATAGGGACACAAAAAGTGCACACTGCTGACGAGTCCTAAGCAGGATGAAACAGCTGTCCAGTGCTCTTTATCGGTTATCACAAACATCTCCATTGTAAGTAAAAAAACAAAACTTTCAGTTTGGAATCGAAGTCAAAAAGTCTGTTTAACAAGACCATCACACGGATCGCGTTTAACCTTAGCGGCAACTGCTGAGCGTTACAGGTCTTCAATCGATTGACTTTTAGTTCGTATTCTCCAACCCCACAGCCATAGCAGAAATTTTCTCAATTATCTATGGACAGTCTTCTGCTGGCCCCTGATGCAGATGTTTATTGTACGCACTAATGCCCATAGATTTTCAGAGACATACACAAAAGCCGTAGCTGAATTTTCTCTCGCAAAAAATCCCAATGGTAGAATTACTGTATGTGGACACCAAGGAGAAAATCAGTTTCACCTATCCATGTATTTTCAAGCACTAAACCTGATAAAAAAGCCCAAGCCATTCTATCGTTTCTACATCTCTCATTATTTTGGGATTTTTGCAGACAATTACGTGTTTTAATCACGTTTTCTCTACTAAGTATCGGGTTGACTGAACTTGATCACTTTCGTTTGTCTCCTTTGGTGTTCGGGAGTCATAGATACCTCAGTAATGCACAATAGATCACACACTTCTTGATGGGATTCGGTGCAACCAAGTGCAAAAATCTCCGCAAATGGAGTCATATGCTAATTGGGGAGTGTTCATGGGATTGTTGACTAGCTATTGTTTTCACTCAATCAGACTTTATTGACGGATAAAGATATGATAAATCAAAAAAGTAATTTCGTTTTCAGCTCAAACACATGGCTCTTGGAGGTCTTGCGGTAATTTTTGATCTAATCGACTGGGGGTCTTCCGGTCACTCTGAGGATTGGGGAAAATCTCTGTTACATTTGGTCGCCCAACACCTTTCTACTCAAACGGATAGCACACAGATATGCGGTTTGCTATCCCAACTCAAAGCTTGTCTAGTTTCCAAATTACGGCCCTTCATTGATCCAGACGGACTGCTGCATTACAAAGGGATCTTACAGCCGCACACCAGACTTCTGGGGTCATTACCAACAATTAGCCCCATTGAACCGAGTAATTTATAGATTGCAGTAGTTTTGCTTTACTAAAACATTTGCTTCCAGTTTTGCGTTCATTTTGCCTAGTAAATGCGTATGGGCTTTTCTGAAGTTTTTTGTCTGTAGACGGCGTTTATCGCATTCGAAGTATGCAACATGTCATCACACGTACCACTCTGTTTTTCTCCTTAGTGCGAAGAAAGGATGTTGTACGTTTAACGGATATGGAACATTGCAAGGTACCCTCGGGTTCGAACGTAAGTGTTTTTTATTTGACTGCTTAACTTATTTCACACTTTGTTCTGTATTCCAATCAACTTCTGTTTCTTTTATCATTATTATTGTTGTGGCGCTGGCACCATGCTTATCCGCAAGCCGGTGAATGATATATATATATATTCCATCGGGCTTACTATGTTTAAATCTATTCGAAACCCATTTGCGTAATGTAGGTACTGAATTGTTTCACTTCGCAATGTTCGAACCATACAGTTATGGTGCTTGTTACGATCATATTTTCGTGGGCTACTTAGAGGCGAATAATTGGCATTTCCTCTCTAGTATCTAGGCGGAGCAGGCCTTTAATTTAAAAGATCACCCATATGGCACCGTTGATGTCAGTGATGAGATGGCAAAATACAGTCTCTATAATTCTATGTAAACGCTATTTTTACAAACGCACACAAAATAAAGTCAAAATGGACACTTCATTTATGGTTATCCGCTTCTCTACAGGGGATTGAAAGCAGTTTGTTAAGCAAGGTGAGATGGAGATTGTAAGCAAGCTTTTATGCAAACACTGCATTGATCCTAGGAAATCTAAATAAATGATAAGAAATTGGAAATTTTCCCTAAAGCCTAAAACTTCACTTGGAACATGGCGAAGTATAGGATTCTTGAGAGCAATAGGTTTTCCAGGACAACCTTCTGGATGCATTTGACCAAGTTCCTGTATGATTTCACAGATTCGACACTGATCCAGGTATCTTTTAGACAAGAACAAGAACATAGCTAGCTATGGGGCTGAGTGGGGGAGGGGAGGGGGCGCAAATAAGGTTGTCCTTCCATTTCGCCTGTTCGCCGAGCTTGGCAATTTGTTTGCAAATGTTTCATCACTAACCGAGGTGACATCATTAGTGCTTGTGAAGGCCACTTCACAAGTACTTGATGATCCGGGCTATATGTCAAAAGGTTCGTTCGACACACTAATGTGAAATAAAACCAACCTAAAGCCCTGAAGTGTGTACTGCGCGTTTGTAAACAAATACCATTTATATACAATTCTATAGACAGAATTCTGTTATCGCGCCGCTGACTTCAAAGGTACCAAATAGTTGATATTTAGACTTGGATTTCTAGTTCTACCCATATTCAGTTTAACCCACGAATTCGCTTCAAGCGTGGGTATGCGTAACCTGCGGATGTGAGCTAAACAATAGTTCTCCCTTAGCAGATACCTGCTTCGTTTATGTGAAGTAATTCAGTTACTAAAAAGGAGGTTATTTTCTCCATTTTACACACCAGAGGAGACATGCTGGGATTATCCGCAATCTGAACAAGTCTCGTTTACACCCCTTGTACATCACTGAAATTCATCAATTTTGTTTTTGGGTTGCACAAAAGCCAACTCAAATTTGGAACTTGACCTGATCACAAATCTGTGACTAAAGGTCAGTGTACTTAATTTTATTGATCGTTTCACTATTGTTAGGTCACGCGGAGCTTGTGCACAACATATGTCTACTAGTACAAGTTGTGAGTTGCAGGTATTCGATTTTGAATGATAGCTGACAATGGCAATGGAATTGACTGATCTAAAATGAGCGGTGGAAGGAAAAGGTATTGATTAAAATTATGAATATAGTGATAGATGGGATAGACAGAAGTTAAAAATTGGGCATGGACTACTGGGAAGATTCGACTAGAGCAAAACGTGTGTCCGATGCTTCCTGGGTGGGTGGTTGACTGAATGAATTGAGGATCGAACGTGAAAATCAAGGCGCAAGGATGATCATTGGAAGTAAACGATAATACATTTCTCACAATACTACTCACAAGTAGCTAAGTTGGATGTAAAGCAAAAGACCCGTGATTGAGGTATTCATCACAAAAGGTCATGTTTTCAGTCTGAACTCACAGTCGTAAGCTTGCAGTCAATAGTGGAACACTGATGCCGGAATAGATACCGACCAGATAAACATTGTCAACTGAAAGTCTTTGGAGTTTTCATGACGATAAAAACCAATAGACTGATTGCATTCTCACTTCTGATAGGTCGTTTTGCGGCCTGGAAAATAAAACTGTGCGTCATTTCTGGCGGTTGCTTCTAAAAGAAACATCTTTATTGTGAGAAGTACTGATGGATATTCAAAGGTTGTAAACTCAAAGGAGTTGTTTATTTCGTTTATGATTATCCTCCGCTTTTTGCGGTACTCAAAAAAGCATGCAATATTCACTAACTGGACTGATTTCCCAGTTCTACCATCAACTGCTTTTCCTTTCCAAGTCATTAGACTTCTGTAAAAGTCAAAATTCAATATCCGTCATCCCCAGAAGGTGCTCAGTCATCTCGTCGCCAATACGCATTATTTATTCGTTAGGGAATGCTAAAACGTGATAGAATAAATTATCAGGATCTCGATATTGCCACTCTTGATGTTGAAATGACACTCAAGTGACATCAGTTTTTATGTGCACCACTTCTGAGATATCTGATTCAATTGGGGTCGTTTTGCAAATTATGTTTTCTTAGCAGGATGAAACAAAAGGTACCGGTTATATGGGATCGATGAAACCTACACTTCCGAAATTTCCACTGGGGGTAAACCGTGTCAAGGAAGACAAACTGTCAGGTATGCATCTTAAACGTGTGTTAGCAAGGAGTCTTCACATCTTTATTGATATTAACATTTTCTTCTCAATAAATGGACATCCGTGAAATTCGATTTCAGGGTGGAACAAACTGCATATCTGAAGGTCGTAAAGAAAGGTTGATTATGTGATCAATGCCAAAAATGTAGCTTTTGTCGTGTCCCATAGACTATGCAGAGAAAATGAAGAACCAATCGGTAATTAAGTTTCGTTACGTGGTTCAAACACAAGAGATCATTATACATCTTGATATCTATTCAATCTTCGATTCTGTTCACCCTACTGTGCCACAGAAGAACTTGCCAACAAATGAATTTTCCTAGAGGGAAGTATTCCTATTTCACAGTTACTTCTGATCAGTAGTGTGGAATAAATACAACAAAAGTAAGTATTCGTTCAAAATACGTTGTATCCGCACAGAAAACGCGGAGTTGTGGCTTCTGGCTAGGTTTAAATTAATTCAAGCATATGCTTTATGCAGCTACGTAGTCAAAGTAGAACCAATAAGCAAGTAAAGTTACACCAGAGTTGTGGAAAGGAAAGATAAAATGAAACGGTTAACGACATGAGTAAGTTTAGTTCAGAAATGATGCGTTCTGTGTTACCCGGAAATCGGGCAATATGAGGTACTACAGAAGACTGATAGGCGATTGTGCGAGCAAATATACAATTATTGTGGGATCGGGTGGAAGAAGGGGACAAATATTATAAGCTCTGCGTGTCACGGATGAGAAGGGTTGGTGATGCGTTTTGTGGATAACAATATACATGACTTTGTACTTTGTGATCTGGTAAAGTGACAATATTGTGGGAAATCCCGCTAATTTTTGATAAATGCGTTGAGGATCTGGAAAGCAACTTGAGCATCCCTGGGAAGATTACAGGGGACCCGTGAGGCTAAAGGGGCAAGATGCAGACAAAACGAAAACGGCATATCAGGGAGCGAGGGACAAATGAAGCTTTCAGGCGTATAACTTCATTATTTGTCCGGTCTATTGGTGTTAGAGAACAGTGCTACAACGGATGGTGATATTGCGAAAGAGAACAAACCAGGCGTAAAACTAAACCAGTTTACTGTCAACCAACCGATGCTTTTTCAATGTACTTCTACTTATGAAACCTTGTCCTAGTTTGGCTACAAAAGCGCAACTACTAGTATTAAGATCCGGTATTTGTTTTCTTTTCGAAGTGATTCGAGGGCATACATTTAATGAAAAATAACGAAATTAATGCACATGCTGCAACATCTCTATTTGAATGTTGATCAATGTCCAAAGAATCGTCTTGGTGGTCACTACATCACTACCCTTCGATGCTTTTACTAATCGCNCATTATTTAAAAATTCAGATGACTGAGGCATGAAGCCGATGCTACTGTTGTTACTGTTTGAGAAAAAATAATTAGGAATGCTCACAAAATTTAACAGCAGATGAATATATACTGGAGAAATAATGACTCGTCAGATTCCATATTGGATTACTCTTTTACTCATATACGCTCAAACACACTCTCCGGCGCATTCGCTTAGTCCCTGTCACTGTCATGCTTTGGACTCTATGGTTCAAGGTTCGAACGCCACCACCGCCACCCAATTTTGGTGGTAGACAGTTTTGCTGTCATCCATTTCAATATCAGGCCTTACCTAATGGGGTCTTATTTAGTTCACCACTCCAAGTTTCAGGGCTTAGATTACCGGATTCTACCATTGAACATCAAGTCTTCACGACCCTTTAACTGTTCATCACACACAATGTCTTTGATAAAAAATGCCTTTTACTCCACTAAATACTTTTTCTTTGACTGTTTCACAACTATCACGAATTGTCCGGTTACTTTCTAATCACATGTCCTGTTGACTCCCTTGTTTTTCCAGAAGTTCATACCGATTATAAACGATTGATTTCTGATCGGACTCAAGACTCGAGCACAGATGTGCGAATGCCACCGGTGCCACCGGTACACTCACCACAAACAAAAAGAGCAAAGAGACCACTGGGTGTGTTCAAAATGCCAAAGCGAAAAGATTCGTCTTATGTTCAGATCGACCAGGAGAAACGGGGTAAAGGAAAGCAAGTGAAACGAATCATGAATCGAGGCAAATTGGAACAAAACAGCAGTCCACAGGAACCCGATAAACTGGAATTAGGTGTGCCACGCAGGCTAGATACAGAGCCCAGATTGTTCTCAAGAAAGGCCAATACCAAACCGGATGGCGTTGCTCCAAAGAAAGTGATTTATGGTTCGGCAAATTCCGTACCGGTAGGTGTACTCGATAAAAACACTTACCGTTTTGAAACCTCGTTGCACAGCATGCAGATATTACTCCGCATAATGGGACAGATTACTGACTAAGTCATATCGCATAAATTATCCTGAAGAACTGCAAAGAAATCAGTTTACTTTATAAAATGTATGAATTTTTCCATTAGATATTATACCAGTGATTGGGATTCCTTTGGAAGAAAGCTATACAGATGGAGTGTGGTTGTTTGAGCAGGATGAATGCTTTTCATCAGGCGAATTTACTCGAAATTCCCAGTAGATATTGAATTAATAAAACATCATATCAAATTTACGCATTATTCATTGATAGTAAATAGAATTGAGAGTATAATGCTTAGATTATCCCATTCGATTGTTCACAGACACCAGAAACTCTTGATGGTTTTGGGTATGGGCTTTAATCCTTGCAAGATCGTTAATTCCCCGTTAGTTAAACGTGTTTGAACGCGATAGAAATATTTGTGATGACCGACAAAAAGCTTTGGACAGCTGTTTCGTCCTGGTTGCGACAAATCACCAATGAGTACCTTTTGTATCATTCGCACAAGGTGATGACGGTCGACCGTTTAGCTCAGGTGTAAGGTTTCGAAGTCCCAACCCGAAGGTTCGCGGCTCGAGTTCTGACAAGAATACAATGCTGACTAGTCCTGAACGGGACGAAACGGCTGTCCAGGCTCTTTGTTAGTCACAACAAATATTTTTATCGCGTGAATTTAGCATTGCGACTCTGGAATGACTGTTATCTTTGTTTCTTTTGAATGAGATAGCTACTTTGAGTAACCTTTTACAAATCATGCTGATTTTCATACATTTATGCCACTCCGTTGTTCATGCTGGGTTGAAGCTGTTAGTCAAAGTCATTCTACAAGCTCTGAATATGTAGCCTCAGCTGATGAAGAAACGTTTGGAGACAGATTACCAAGCTCATTCAGCGGACGAAAATGAAAGATTGAGTGGTAACTGTGATAGGAATGTGCTTTCATCATACAATAGCATTGTAGCACGCATAATGGAAAACATACACCATATAAAACGGTATTAAGCCCACTGTACAGCAACGATAGCAGGTATATTTAATCATGTGACTGAAAGTCGAGACACAGAGGCTATCAACAGGAAGAGTGCATTTTTGATGGTAATCTAATATAAATCTGGGAAAAGGCTCCGTTGATTCAGTGAGATCTATCAAAATCATTGGTCTCCGTTTCAACCGAGCCAAAAACCTATTTTTAGCCCCTTATACATTATTCTGTATACCGTTTATTCTTTCATTGCTTGTAATAGTAAATATGATCGTGTTAACAGCTTAAGGGAAAGGAGAGCCGTAAATTCAAGGACTGCCATGTGATACAAAGAAATGGAGACGATTGGGCGGTGGCGGTGGTGGATTGGAACGCAAAATCTGGGGCCCTTAATTAAAGACCTTAACGCGTGAACCCCGCCTTTCGTGTCACCATTGTTTTATGTTATCAATTGTAGACTGTATATGCCCATTTTTAGATGATTATAGCGCTCACTTTTCTGTCCTAATATCTTGTTCCTCCTGCACTCAACCAGGAACTCATCCGTACTAAAAACAGTTATTGTGAAACTGGGGAAGGTGCAGGGTATAGGTGGCTAAGAAATCAAGCCTTTACAGCTAATGAACAGATTGAGCTTTATGCCAGTTAACTGGAACTCCACCACTTTCCTCACATTGGACACTTAATGGTCGAAGTATTGGATGGAGTGAATTGTACACTCGTGTAACCAATCTTTGCACAATCCACTTTCTAGATCTTTCGTGTACCTCAGAAAGTTCGATTTGCCGGCGAAAAGCATGTTGGCCCATCAACAATTAGCCAGCAGACTCCCCATACAAATCTGAAAATACCTTTAAATCAAAAGTAAGTCAACATATCGATAATCCTGTGACATCCTGTACAGTGCGTAGTATCAAAGTGAGTTGTATTTATGATTATTGTTTTGCACAACAACACTTGAGAAATTCAGTATTCACCAAAAAGATGATCAAAAGTTCAGTTTCAGTTTCAGTTTCACTTTAAACAACCATCAACGATTTAATTTCGTGCAGCGGTTTTGGCTGTTGTCTTTTGACCGCACAGTTGAATAAAGGAATAAAGGGTTAATGGGGATTTCAAAAGCAGAGTCAGTGAGAAAATGATGAACTCTGGTAAATTAAGGTTACAGAAAATACGCAAGTGCTAATGCTTATGACATTCAACCATGTCCCTCAGCGCCTCTAGTCACCCAGTACGCTGACCCCGAGGTCTTCGTCCAAGAAGCCTAAGGTGATCCATGTGAGAAAGTGTCCTGATTAAGGATTTCGAACCCTTAGTTCAGCCACCCTCGGCTTTTTTCCACCTGTATCCTCCATTGACAAACATCACGCTCCATGATAATTTATTTGGTGGGCTACTGTGATTACCTAGAACTCTGCGCCTATCCTCTGCAGTATTCGGCCGGTTACCCCACTGGACTCGTACAACGCAACGTAGACAACGGTGAATATGATTTGTAAATGGCGATCATCTAAGCAGTCACTGTTCTGTATATTAACTGTTGAAATAGCAAATTTTAGAAATTTCACAGTACCTGATAGAAATGTTAAGGCGAGTACCTGTTGTGTGTATCCTACTGTATCACTGACAGGGCAGAGCGTCATCCTCATCAGCTCTTGGACTTATCTACCTTATTTTTGGTCGAGAGCCTCTTTCTGTACTTGCCATTTGCAATTAACTTGTTCTGGCTTTAAGAAAAGAACAATAATTTAAGAGATTTTTCACTTGAATCCATGAATATCTATCTGATCTGTTTAAATCAGTTTTGTAACGGCTTCTAGTTCCCTGATAAAATTGTAGTTAGGTTTATCAACTTCATTGAATTATACAGTGACTGTGATTCGGTTTTAGGTGTACTAGTTTATCGATAATAGTTTAGTCAGCCTTCTTTTCTCAGGGCTGATTTATGGAATTACCAAATTAAAAGAACGAAGAGTCGTTGAACATTTGCTTTGCTGTACGAAGAAATTTCTTTCCCATAGATCAGTCTGGGAATTTCGTAAATGAGACTGTAAATGGGGCACTTAAGGGTTAAATTTCTCGTGTGAACCAATTCTACACGAAAGTGTAATAGTCTATGTCGACGAAACCAGGAGTAACTTGCCGAAAGCAGCATGACTGTATAGAAAAAAACACAGTCTGTCTCAGTTTTAGTTTTCAGTTTTTGCTATCATCAGCTGTACACGTTCGTGCGGCGGTTTTGGTTGCCGGTTGTATGTTCGTGCCGGCACTGATGGTTGCGTTGGCTTACGTTGTTCACACAGTGTAGTAATAATAATACTCCTCTTCCGTGGTCTTGTGATATTAAGGTGCGTGGTTGTCAATATTGATTAGAGTACATTCGCTGTATTCACAGTTTATGTGTCAAATTTTCCTATTCGACATTCGCTCGGGTAAATACAACCATTGACAGTGACATGACTAATAGAAGCGCAAAACACCTAGTGACAGAAAGGTATATAGACGGTCAGTAAATATGCATGACTGACGAGCGCTAATAAGAGAAAATCTGAAATCCTGCATTTTCTTTTGTTGGACAAGGGAATGCTTTTGACTGAAGATGAAGTCTGAACGAAAGTCACTCAAGACCAATTTATCTCATTCTTGGGTTAGATAAGAGTAGGGTCTTTAAGCAGGTATCTTGTTTCACACTTGATACACAGGTTACAATGAGTGCTACTCTGTGCGTTTTTCGAGACACTGATCATTAACCATTATCGATGAAATTAACACTCTCCTTCTGAAGTCGTGCATTGATCTGACATTCACCTAATTTTTCGAAATTCTAGACATAATACATCAGACAAATCAATATGTCTTCCACCGTCACTTCACTGACCATTAGTAAATTATCCTTTGGAGATACGATGCAACCGCTCATCAGTATTTAATGTGTTGTAATTGACCATCTACTTGCCTTTTCAGAGTCCCCGTACGCCTACCACCTCTTCCCAAACCGTTGCTATCTGCATCGTCAGTGAGCACACAGCTAAGCACTTTAACGAGAAGGAAAGATACCATATTGAAATCGGCAAGTAAGTATCTTCCAGTCGAGGGAAGGTTGTCCGACATTCCTCACGTTATCAAAACATCTAATAACTGATAAACCATACAGAGACACACGAAAGTGATTGACAAAAGTCTTTGTGGCCCTCTAGTAATCGGATATAGCTGACAGCTGTTAGTTATCTCACCATCCAGGACGAATTGTTCGAATTTCACATTTATTTTGCAGAATCTGTATCACAATGGAGAAAGCCCGTTAAGCAACCTTTGAACGTATCCATTCAACATCCAGTGGTTTCGTTGGACATTTTCATATGTACACGTATACTCTGTGGTCTATATACCTGCAATACAAGAAAAATATTTTCTTATACATTGCTGATTTTGTATTTCGATTGTTGTTGTTGTTTGGCTTTATTTCTTCCAGTCCAGTAAAAGTTAAAAATGCTATATTTTGATTATGAGTTAGGAGGGGGCGATATCATATGGAGATACAACCAGTTGTTATTATAGTCAAGCATCCATCCCAACATAAAAATATCTTGATTGTACCTTTAGTATTTTGATTAGTGTGCAAACAGAATCAGTTGAAACGTAGTTCTGATCTTCATGATTTATGATTCAAAATACAATAAAACTGATTATAGTTTCACCAGCCTAGATAGGGTGAACTGTGTTGGATAGTTTTATTTGATGTGTGATATCCTTGTGATTTTTAAGGTGACTATACCAACGAACTCGAGATGGTTTAAGACAGGACGATGTCAAACCCTTCCAGGTGATAAAATCTTCGAAGTTTCTGTCATTAACCTTATTCGAATTTTAATCACCCTTCCCTGACTCAATAAACCTTAGTTCTAGGAAAGCCTCTCTTTCCCTTCATTTATTCTATATCTTCACAATGAATTAAAAAACAGATTGTATCACTTTGCACGTCAGAAAGGAAATATTTGTTTGAGCTGACAGATCCTATTGACGTCAGATGCAATCGTTGCACCGTTTGCACTTGTTTTAATACTCCGAAACCACGACTGCCAAATATATTTTCATACTAATACTATTTGACGTATCAGGAAGTACAAAAGCGGTTAAGAAAACCCCAAACTGCAAAGTTTTGCCAGAATACTGGACGACACTTAACCGATTGCATTCGTATACGTACACATTATGTAACCGAGGAACGAACCGGAGAGATGTATTTGTTGAATTCCTTGCTAATGCTTTTCTTGTCCCCGTTTTGAGACATTCGTCGCCGATCAGGACCCCAAAATTCATCAGCTGGTATGCATGGTGCTTGCAAACGTTCACCGGATTTAACCAGAATTCGCTCTCGCAAGGGAAACTTGGAAGTTCGGTAAGTGGGTAATTATTACTTTTTGAAAGCTGTATACCACTTCCTTTAATTGCACAAAGTATATTTTTTTACTTAATCTAAATACCGAAAATCCTCAGTTGTTCTCCGTGAGAACAAGATTTTTGATCGTCTCTGAGCTTGGCGGTTGTTGTATCAAAGGGTTATCAACGGACTAATAACAAATAAATTTCAGCAGCATTTTGTTTTGCAAAGTGGGCGATCAAAGATTTTCAAAAATCGGTTCGGTACATCGGATCGGAAAAACGTAACATCATACACAGATTGAGCCTGTCGGTAGAGAGTGAGGGGCTATTTTGGAGATCAATATTGTGATTTGTGTCAATAAAAGACCATTTAACAGTTTTCTTTAAACAGATAGGTTCAAAAAGCACAGATGCATTCAAATGAACATCCCATAGCAGGCCTAGCTGTTCTTGATCCACTCTTCTTTCGCAAGTGTGTGGTGATTTGCTGAAGGAACCTCTTCATTTCATTCCAAACAAATGGGTTTCTGCGTCTTATTTCGTATAGTTGATTTGCTACTTAGATCTTGCGTGATGTGTTTTAGCAGTGTTTGAAAGATGTTCGCGAAACGATTGGCCCAAATATCAGAGTACCGATTTGTGTATAAAACAGCATAGCATGGAATAAACCATTTATCTGGCTAAATCATTAATTTATCTCCGATATTATGAAGCAGATGATATTGATTGTGACGTGTACAGACAACCACACCGAGTTGGTAACAAGCATGGTCGTAATTACGACATGCGGAGCATCTTCTAAATAAAGAAACAGTTAAATCGGCATAAGCAAATGACTCCTTCATATGGCTACTTTGGATTGTCCGGAAGTAAAATTATTGTGCTTGGATTCCCACCTCATTGAACTATTGGATTTTCATTGATTAATGTGTTTTTAACTTAAATAATTGAACTGCACATCTCTGTTGCACAATCTTCAAAGTTCAGTTTGATCATCCTGGTGAATAACAAATTCTCTACAACTAACTATCTCAGCTCTCTATTTATGTATTGTTTAAAATGACGACGTTTCCACCTAATATATGAGATCAATAATGAATTTAATATATCCATTACTTTCCATGTATGCTTTATTTGAATGCTCGGGCCCAGGCCAGCTAGCGTTCCTTAGCCTCTTCAGGATAGATGAAAGAAGTTAATTCATTTGTGTGTTGGTATTCATTCTTTTTTCATAGACCATTAATCAATATTGGCTACATGCATTCTAGTGCTAACGATTGGCAAACCTTGCTTTACGAAAGCAAATCATTCCGAATAGCCAAACACGTGTGCGATAGAAGCATAAAACTGACATTGAGGTCATGTACTGGTGTGTTTTCTACTTTTCCACCCAAAATGCATTACATTGATATTCATTGGAGTGTGTTATTCCGCAGGGCGGAGGAAAGGTAGATCGAATTGATTAATGTGTTATTTAATCAATCAATCCATCATGTAACCGATTGGTAGTGAACGAGACGTTTTGGTTGTCTATGGATGACTTTTGTGTGCCAGCACAACGTTGATGACACTGGTTAGTAATCACTGTGTTTTTCTCGTGAAAACCCAGGAAATTCAAAATGAAATAAACTATCACTTCATACTTGTTTTCCCCATTCTGCTCTACTGGTGTCTATACCATTCTGAGTTAGAGTTGAGAAACTATAATTTTCATTTGCGAAACCGTCATTTTGAACAGAGAAATCATCTCTTGGAATTGAGAAAGAAACGCTGTGGTTAGATCCACTTCCTTTCAGCACACCTCATTGGTCAATTGATCACATTTTTTCTACTCCCGGATTGACCACCTGTCCTCCCACGCTCTTTCTGTGTTGAAATGAGGCAGACCTCGGTCATGCATCTTGTCGAGCTCTGTGACGACATCAAATCGGTGGGTCGGTGAAGCCGTGCTAGTTGCGTGTGACAATCAAGCTGGATGCCACTCGATATGCACGAAGAGTGACGCACTGTTTCGTGCGCCCTACAGCTAAAGTACATTTGCTCGTAGTTGCTCTAACATTGACTCAATGATCAAAGCTGATCGCACTAACTACGACCAGGGACGAGTTTTGTGCTTATTGTGCAATCCGAGCGATGTACTTTTATTACGAGTATCATGGGTCTATCTGAATAATAATATTTGTTCAGTGACAGATGTTGGAGTTCTTGAGGTAAACTTGGGTGATGGGCTGGCTATCATAAATGCCCTAGCAACCAAAACCACCCTAAGTGTACCTCTCCCATTCGTGGCTCAGCTCATCGAACTGAACGAAACAACGCAGCATTGTTGCGTAAGAAATGTCGACGGAAATGAACATCAGCATTTTTTACATTGAATTTGGTGATAAGGTCAGTTACAGTCAATCAGTTAGGCTGGCTGATGAATAGTGTAATATCCGCATCACTTTGATATCAAATACTCAAGACTTCTGAGCTACATCTGCTGAATTGAGTGCAAAACTATTTCACTGACTGATGCCAATTCACGTGTTTTAATGACATTAGGTCTTCCACCGTGAAATCGTTTTCACACTTAAGAATGCCGACGGTGTAGTGGATGCTGATGTATACAACGGCATCATTTTCATCAACCTCTTTCAATAAGTAATAAGTTTCATTCCTATACGGTCTTGAAATGGTATGGATTATCAAATTGCTCATTCTTCGTTAAACCCGTAGAGCTGAACCAAACAAAAGATAATCCATTCGTTTGAAAAAAGAGATATTTTCAAAGTGAAAAGCGGGTACTCATTGTCAGAAAAATTATTTCATGGAACAATTAGTGTAATAATATATTACTGTCTAAAGAACATTCACAAATTACACAGCATTACAGCCAAATGGTTTTTACAAGCTGGCGGTTAGCCAGCACATTAACCAATGTGAGGACACAGAATAATTTGCAGCCATCTTCCGGCAGATTTGCAAAAATATTCGACGGAAATGAACATCACTAGTATCTATAAGTTAGGTCGACTAACTGGTACATGGCGAGATGTTCGCATCACTCCAATGCCTATTATTATAAGGGCTCTTTCCTTCTCTGTTGACCGCTGAGATTGTTCAATGCAAAGTATACGACGTTATCCTCTCTTATATGCTAAGTGACATCATGATGCAGCCTTTTCTCCTGTACATTCAAACCACTGTCACTTCAATTACTCCCAACCGAATACATTCTGTCGAGAAGTGAATAAGTAAAATATCAAAACAAAAATCGTGAAATCAATCTTTGGTTGCCGGTTTCTAGGTTCTCTGTTGGAACCAATCTCAATGGTCTCCCATGTTCTCACCGTCAAGAGCTGGCATTTAGCATGTCTGAGAATGTCGCACGAACCCAGCGCAATAAGAATCGGGGATCGACGATATCGCTCTCGCAACTGGCTACTCCAAGAACTGCATTCGCTATTCTGTTTGATTGATTAACCCTTCAGGATCCACTTGAAAGAGGCTCGGATAATTATCGCTCAAATCGCGCTTGACTTTGCTCTTATTCCTTAACAACTCCAATGTGATTGTGGGATCTATTTCCAGCCAGGTGATCATTTCGTCGAACTCTGTGTCACTTAAAGCCTTTCTTTTTCCTCCGCCTTTCAGTTGACGTTCATATTGCGGTCCCCTGGGATTAATTCAGTTGTAAGCGGCCTTAAACTTCACTCCATTGTGTCCCGCAACAACGCGCCAATCCTCTCCCTCCTCAAAAGTCTGAACAATTTGATTACGCACACCGCTGCCAGCACAGTTGCACCGTCCTCGAAGCATTATCGAAAAGTAAATGGAAGTGGACCAAAAATATATGGGTGTTATTTACATGCACACAAGTCAATGTGTAACGAATGATTACAATCAGATAGGTGTGGGGATCCGGGCGTACGAGATGACGCCTGGCCTGGAGCGGCGCGTGACAGTTTTTGGACAAATATGATCAATTAAACTTCACGGGTGACGTCAACAACGCGCGTACGTGTCACTGCTTCTGACTGCATGCCGTAGGTAGATCGTACCAGCCAATCAGAGATCACGTGACCCAGACAGAAGCAGAACGATGCCAGCAATACTGGAAGGCGATTGGTAGAAGCTTGGATAAACAATGAGCCTACTTTGTACATATTGCTTAATCCACTTTATTTCTTCCAATGAACGAGCTACCATTCCTGTGGCCTTTTCCTCGCGTCTCAGTCAGGTGGGATATTGCGTGTTAGTGCAACTGTGGTGCAGTGATTACGTGATCCGGTCCGTGATAGCTGATTCCTGATTCGTGTTCCGAGTTCCGTGCGTATTACTACTATTACTAAAATCACTACAATAGGATATTGTCAGCAAACTTCAAGCACGCATCAATATGAGCATCACCGAAATTGTCAATCAGAACATATGAAGGAACTTTCGAAACACGGCTGTTTACTGAGAGCCCAAGCCCCAACCACTTGAGTTCGGCCTTCAGTAAACTAGGGAATATCATCGGGGAGCATTAAAGGGGTATAGGGAGAACATATTGTTGTACAAAAGCGTTTATCACCGACAAATCAGAACAGAAGTGGCAGTCTTCTTATCTGGAAAGAGAGAACTTTCAACTTGCGAGCAACAGTTTGGGTGCAAATGTTACTTTCAAGTGTGACACATAAATACTTCACATGGATGACTCTACTCGTCGGCTTTCCATGAATGTGTACATTGTCAGAGGGAGTTGGGGAACGGTTTAGAGCAAAAATACATTCAAGGCACTTTTCGGGATTAAGATTAAGACCGGATGAAGTGGAATATGAAACAGTGCCTGGTGCCCGTGAAAAACCGAATGGGTTAATCCAAACATTCACCATCTGAAGAGATGGGATAGTTTTGTGTTATTTTCAAACAGTTCTGATTGGTTAGATATGGAAAAAGAAATGACGATATCATCAACATACTTAGAATGTCGTACAGGGGGAGTAAAAGGTAAGTCATTGATATAAGTGGGGAAAAGATCGGGTGATAAGACAGAACTGTGGTGATCGTGCAACGAATACTCACGCACCGCGGTACAGCTTCCGGCTAACCA